AACCTAGAATAGAAGGCATGGAATGCCCAATAAACCCATCTCTAAAAGAGTCTCTTAACCAAAGGAGGTCTCCTCTCTAAGTTAGGTTAGAATGGAAATTAGATTGATAGGCTTTCACACAACACAATCATTCATAAATAATACCTCAAACCTTAAATTAAACACCTCCATCACACAATCATTCAATCCACACAATCAATTTCATGATAGGAGTTAGGGTTCTACAACACCCAAGTGAAAAGGGAAACTACTCCATGCTAGATAAAGGAAGAACACAAAGGAAGAAGAAAGAAACCATCATTGTGATGCCTCCAACCCTCCTTGTGCTTGTAGAACTCCTCATTGGGAGAGGATCTTCCAAAATCTTCACTTGGAGCAAACCCTAGCCTCTTCTCCCTCTTGGTTCGTCACTTTTTCTCTTGAGGGTTTCAAGAAGAAGGCTCTCCCTTCTCTCTTCCTTTCAGCTCACATTATATACTGGGATCGGGCTCAGCTCACGGCTTCAGTTCACGACCGTGAACTCCTCAACGCGCCGTGAACTTGGACGGCTGTGTCGAAACGCACCGCTTCACTCACTTGAGTTCACGGTTTGCACTCAAAGTTCACGGTTTTAGTGACCGTGAACTCACTCGGCGTTAGTAACTTCAGAATTCGCCTTGGACGCTTCACTGTTCACGGTTTATGGCTCCAGTTCACAGCCTTAGGAAACCGTGAACTCCAATGGGAAACCGTGAACATGGCCTGAATCTTGGAGTCATGTGCTTCATTATTAGGGGGCAATTGTCACGGACTTTGGACTTTTCTTTGGTTTTTGCGCTTTTTTCAACCTCCAATCGTCCCACAACTCGTCCTCGACCCTTCTACACGTGCTAGGACCTGAAATGTATAAAAAACAAGCACAACCTAATAGGTCGAGAGACGACAAAATGCAAAGTCAAAGCGTCAATAAATGAGGGGGTAAAATGTGTACATTTAGACCCGAATCAGCAATCCATAGTAAGGAGGAGATTTGCTGCTAAAATTCGAAGAAGAAGCATTCATTATCGATGTTTGTATCCAAGGTGCTGTTATTCTACTTCTCTATGTCTTGCTATTGATCTATTTAGGAATGTGAATTCTATTATGCTTATGTACTTTCTATGAGTTAATTAGATTCTTATCTCATTTTATGTTATGATCATCAATGCATATTCCTTTAGAAGCTTTATTGTATTCTACATGCTTTGTGATCATCGATACTTTATATCATATGATGTTTTAATCATTCTGTGCATGTTGATCTATTATGAGTCTTACTATGCATTGTTTATACTACTATCACGGAAGACAAGAAAACTAATCTTGTGCAGTAGGCATCCTTCTTAGGCACATATAGGAGGACTAGCTACGCTTCTATGCATGCATGAGAATAAAAAAAAAGTTTACATAGGTTAACGTCAGCTCTTAACAACCTCAACTTTTTAAAGATCTATATTAGTTACTAATGAATTAGTATTTAATAATTTATTTGTTCTTAATTATTATCCATTTAGATGATTGTTGACCATAAAGTTTGAACTCATTAGATGATGAACTTTCTGCTTCATTATTAGCAATGGACTAATTCCTTGAAGTTTCTAATTGCTTTTTTAATGCATAATTATCTTACTTGTGTATCGATTTAATAGATAAACAAGCTAATAATACTAGTATGAAGAAATAGTTTTAAGCAAATGCTAACAATAAGTACTGTAAATTTTTAAATATAAAATATATATAGACATTAATAACTTATGATTCCCAATCAACAAAATTATGTAAGAACTAATTATTACCAATCTCACAATTATCAAGTAATATAAAGATTACTTTCGACAAGGCCCAAAATCATTTATTATCATGAAATAATGACAAATCAGAAGAATTCATCCGTCTTAAAAACTAGTTTTCATGAATCCAGCTTACCCATATAAGAAAAAAAGACTAATCAATTAGTTACCCAATGTTTCATTTGAATTAATCCTTTGCAACAAATATTACAGTTAGGGCTGCAAATGAGCCAAGCTACTCGCGAGCAACTTGAGGCTCGAATCGGGAAAAACTCGTTCGAAACTCGATTCGTTTACTGACGAGCCAAGCTTGAGCCTAGCTATGTTCAGCTCGTGAAGCTCGCGAGCTAGCTCGACTCAGTGGCTTGTTGAGCTCAACTCTTGAGTTGGCTCATTTAGAGCTCATGAGATGTCTCAACATTGTGGTTTGAGGGCCAACTTGATCACTGACTTATGGACTAATCGATCTAATTTGGACTTTCATAATTCATAGGATTGTTAAATTATATATCTCACATCATGTGAAGTTTAACATGTTGAACATGTAAGAAAATATGCCTTATTTTTAATTCTATAGAGAAATTATGTACAAAATTGTTTCGATACTATGAAATAACATGATTTGAACTAGTTAAAATTTATTAACTAAACAATATGACACCTAAAAATTATAATATAAGATTAATTAATGTTGAACATTTGATTATTTGTTTTATCGCTACATCAATTGTTATAAACGCGCTGCTACGGATCGGGAAATTGCCGGAATCGACAAAGCAAGAATACGAAAGCGAGAATCGAAAACACGACACACGATTTACGTGGTTCACTAACACGATGTGTGTTAGCTACGTCCACGGGCGAGAGAGAGCCAGTTTCACTATATCAAGGAGATTACAGATTACAGAGGAGTATGAGAAGTATTTATAGTACTTCTCCATGTGGGTCTAAACCTAATCCAATCTGCCAAAGGAAACGGTTACAGACCAGGCCCAGAACCCGATTACCAGTCGTAGCGGCTGATAGTCTGATTCAAGTCATATCAACATCAATCACATGTACCATACACGACATACAAAATGAATGTATTAAATACGATCTAAGAATTTAGTAAACAAGCCTAGCTCGAACTCGACTCGGCTCGTTAATAAATGGCTCGGGCTCGAGCTCAGCTCATTTGTTAACGAGTCAAGCTCAAGCTGGGGTAAAACTCGGCTCAGCTAAGCTCATTTGCAGCCCTAATTACAGTTGAGAAGAAGTGGAAATAAAAATATTGGGTTAAAGACACATTTGGTCACTGAGATTACAAAATCGGGACATGTTTAGTCACTAGAAAAAGTTAATATCAAATTTGGTCACTACAATTACTAAAACTGGACGCATTTAGTCACTCGCCGTTAGTCTCCGTCCAACTCCGTTAATGAAGTCCGTTAAGTGCTGATGTGGCAAACAGAATTGCCTAATCAGCCGGATATAACCCAACAAAAATAAAACCCGACCCGCCACGTCATTAAAACCAACCCAACCCCACCCAACCCTTCTTCCTCCTTCCTCCCACCTTCACTCTCGTGCCCGCTCCCCATTTCCTCGCCGTCCATTCTTGGTGACGACGGCAAAGGCGGTGGTGGAGGCATTGTGTTTAATGGTGGCTGGCCACCGTTGTCACCTACTATCTCCTCCGACGGCGGACGCTCAACCGGCCTCCTCCTGTGTGGATCTACCACTCTTTGCGGCGCCGACGGAGGACCCGGCAGCGGCGACGATGGCGCGGGCACTTGGATCTTTCTGTCGGACCCAATCTTTGAAAAGTTAAGTGGTTTTAGTGACGACCGCCGAGGACGCATTGGCGGCAGCGGCCGCGGCGGCGGTGGAAATGAGTGGATTCCCTTGCTTTTGGTTGCTTTCCTGAATGGCGAATGGGAGACTGATGGCGGAGGAGGAGGTGGCGGTGGCGGCAGAGATTTGATTGTCAAAACTTCCTCTCTTCTTCTGCCCTTCTCCTCCTCCTCATCTCGATTCTCTCGGCGAGGAACAACTCCGAGGAAACGGCCGGAGGACGGAGGAGGAGGCGGTGGCGCTGGCACTGGGATCTTCCTCTTGGACAACCTCTTTGAAGAGGCGAATGACAAATGCAGAGGCGGTGGCGGCAGAGGAGGCGGTGGCGCCGGCACTTGGATCTTTCTCTTGGACAACAACCTCTTCGAAGGGGAGAACGATGAATTCAGGGACGGCGGCGGAGGAGGAGGCGGTGGCGCGGGCATCTGGATCTTTGTCTTGGACCACCGATTTGAAAAGGGGATTGATGATTGCGGTGGCGACGGGAACTGAGTTAGGGTTTCAATTAATTCAATTTCGCTTCCACCACCCAATTCCTCCTCCTCGTATTGATTCTCTCGCAGATTGGAAGATGGAGGGGGAGGAGCTGGCAACGGAAGAGGCGGCGGCAGCGTTCGGAACTGAGCGAAAAATTCAATTTCGCTTCGCGGCGGTGGCCTGCCCCATGGAAACAGCGACGAGCGAAGCACGAAAGTATCCACCGGAATATCCTTGCAATTTTCGATTGGTTCGGGCGATTCTCCTCCCTGCCTCCGCCGTCGGCGAGCATGATCTGCCGGTGTCCGTCGCTGCAAATACAAACAGGGGGAGCTCGGTTCGGTCATTACGAAGAGGATTTATTCGACGTCGTGGGAGGTGCCGGGGTGGGAGTAAGGAGGAAGAAGGGTTGGGTAGGGTTGGGTCATGGGTTGGGTTGGTTATAATGACGTGGCGGGTCGGGTTTTATTTTTGTTGGGTCATATCCGACTGATTAGGCAAATCTGTTTGCCACATCAACACTTAACGGACTTCATTAACGGAGTTGGACGGAGACTAACGGCGAGTGACTAAATGCGTCCAGTTTTAGTAATTGTAGTGACCAAATTTGATATTAACTTTTTCTAGTGACTAAACATGTCCCGATTTTGTAATCTCAGTGACCAAATGTGTCTTTAACCCTAAAAATATTAGAAATAATATGTTATTAGACTACTAAAAGCCCAGTGGGTTGTCCTATATAAAAAGAAGCCCAGTGGGTTGAGTTTTTCGTTTGAACGCAATGGTAGGCCGGCCCTATCTTTTCCATCCAGGATTAGGATGAACATCAAACAGAAGATATAAAGAAAATCAGACGAGAAGGAAGTCTGGAACTGTAAAGGTAAAGGAGCCACCAAGGAAGGATATTGGTTTTACTCTGAGGGCCAGTTAGGGTTTGCATAAGCCTCTGAGTTCCGTCGTCGTACCGTAAGTTGGTGTGACAGACAAATTAAATGTCTTCCTGCAGCGGCTTCGTATTATTTATAGTTGCGATACAGAATGGGTATATTAGCCTGAAACCCCCAGAAAGGGATCTGGAAGGGGGAACCGGCAACTGGGGATCGATCTGCAGTCATTGGATTCAGCGGTGGGCGCCGGGACCTTGCGTCCCTCCAGGGTTCGCCGGCGATTGCCGAGGTTTGTTTTATTTCTCTGATTAATTATTAATAGATGCATCATCTTCCTTTTGCTGCTGCGACATATCTATCTACTGCGCGCGTCAGAGTTGCTGCTTGCTAGGGCACAGGTTATGGGCATTACTTATAACTGTGGTGGATATCGGTCGGATTCTCGGTTGCTTAACGCCATTCTCACCTCTAATGATTGTTTGCAGATTCTCCTATTTCTCGGTCCAAACGAATTCCTCCTTCTGGTATGAAAACTTCATCATATTAATTACTTCATTCGGTCTTCTTTAATTGATGGATTGCAACTGTTACGTAACAATGCTGCTGCTAAATTCTTTCTTTCTTGCAGTTTCTATTTCCCCGGAACCTGTGATTCTAGCCAACGATCCATGCTATAAACAGAAGCTGCAGAGGATCTATATTAAGGTATATCATACATTTATAAATTATGTCCCAGTCCACTCATATGTGCTTGCACCCGTTTACAATTATCATTTAATTCATTCATTAACATTAAATCAATCAGCCCAAACCTATTTCTAGCTAAACAGCTTGTCTTGCAGATGCTAGCTTGTAGTGCATTCGTGAAATTAATTATTACAACCACAGGGCATCTTGCATCAATATCTCTTGTAAAACATTGTGGCAGTTACGTTAGTGTCCACATGCTCTACCTAAGGGCTACAATCTTAACTTCGTTGTGCCTTGTTTGTTGTGCGTTTCGTATGCAGTGTTTGAAGGATGATGCCAACGTATCGAGTGGATTCTGCGCGTTTATAAAGAGAAATATAGAAGAGTGCAATTAACTAATGGCACCAACAAGAATCAAAGCCAGATACACATATATGTATACTCAAAAGGGTGTGTGAGATCAGTAAAAAAAAATGTTATTTGCGGCCATGCATTACTATTTACTATTTGCCGCCAACCAAAAAAAATAGAATTCAAAATTTATTATATATACGTCTCGGTATAGGAGTTTCACGAACTACTTTTTTTTTACAAAAGATAATCATATATTGATTGAAACAAAGGTAGTTACAGCCTGGAGATCAGCCAGGCCTGATAATCAAAGAAACGACTCATAGTCGGGTACAATGAAAGGTCTTTCCTAGCCACCAAATGGGTTGTCCTATTGTTTTGCCGACCTACAAATCTAACAGTAAAACCAGAATGAGAAGAAAAATAGTGCACAATTTCTTCAAGAATAGCCCTAGTAAGGGTCATGATAACTATTCCACCAGTAGAATGAGAACCACTCCGCATCGCCCCATCCCACGTACACACCGGCAAATTAATCTCTGTCGGACTCAAGTGATGGGGCACATGGAGAGTTGACAAAAGAACACGATCCACAGGCAGAGTTTCACGAACTACAACAAATATCAAACTCTCAGAAAAAGTGTTCAATCATAAAAAACCAATGCTTGCCGCAACAATCATCTGAAGAGCCAAACCTAGTCAGGCCAACGGAAAAAGCTGGCCCGAGCCAGACTCGGCCAAAGGAAGTATTCGGTTCTACCTGGCATCGGCCGGAATTTTCCTTTGGCTTGGCCACGTTCCGGTTCTGGCTATTGGTATCTTTCGGCCCGATTAGGTTTTGGTCGCTGGAATCCTTTTGCCCGGTACCTGCGTTGGATTTTTTTGGCCTAGTCATTTACAGTCGCCAATTTAGATTTTTAGGAGTTGAATTTAACGTTTAAGAGTTGAATTTAGGGTTTAGGAGTTGAATTTAGTATTTAAGAAATGAATTTAGCATTTAGAAGTTGAATTTTGCGTTTAGCTTCACATTAATATTACGGGTAATAACTATTTATTAGCCAAACCCTTTTCAGGTTCTTTTTTATTAGCCAAATCTATTAAAATGCTATTAATGAGCCAAATCTTTTGTAATGCATTAAATTATTAGCCATTTTTACGTTATCGTTAATAATTTTGTAATTCTTTTCTTAGTTAAAATACTAAAATTTTGGAATGTTGACCTTCTATGTGTCTTCCTTGTCAATATCATGGTGCCAAGTTAATATTACCAAAACTCATTCTTGGTCATGAGGGAGAGATGCAACTGAAGGGGACAAGTTCCCTTCCCAGCGCGCAGGTACCTTATAGTTCACTGGACAAGACTGGAAGATCAAGACCGCGAATCCGAGTGCTTTGGCCGCGAACTTCAGGAGGAAATGCTGCTGGAAGAACAGAGAGTTTCCCCACTCATCTCGCGGGCTAACCGTGAAAAAAGATTGTGGCCGCAACACAAAAGTTCGCGCCCGCGAACTTTTGCCCACAGCTTGCGATCTTGCCCGAAAACTCCAGCATCTATAAATAGTAGAGCTGCTGAAGGAAAAAGAGAGAGCCACCCTAGAATGAGAAAGTTAGGGTTTTGGAGTATTTTAGAGAGGGAAACACCTTGGGAGAGCTTCATTGAAGATTCAATCCACCCAAGGAGAAAGAAGAAGGTGCAAGCAAGGAGAAGAAGATTGATTCCATCACTCCCTCTCTTCTAGTTCGTATTCTCTCTCTCTCTCTCTCTCTCTCTCTCTCTCTCTCTCTCTATGACTTGAATCTCTAATGGTTGTTCAGAATAGATGAACCCTAGATTGATATGATCCCAAATAGCCAACGGTACACATTTTTATTGCTTGACAAAGAAGCACTCTCAAGTGGCAAAAAGGAACATAATTTGGCTAAGTATCAAAACAGTTTCATGGTGCCTACTTTGGAGGCTTGGTTCTCACAATTGGCTCGATGAAAATTCAAGATTAAGGAGCTTGTATCAAATATGGAGTGCTTATCTACATGTTGGATGCATTGGTGAATCCATAACAAGTCATTAGGTCATTTTCCAAAGCCTTAAAGTTGCCCTCTCAAAACAGGAAAACTGCCTGAAAATGGCCAAGTTTGGAAACGTGTTTGTGAATGCTACTTTGGAGCTCCAACGAGGAAGAGGGTTGAGAATCAATTTAGAAGCTTCATAGCACATGGAAGTTCATATGATAATCTACAAATACAAGGCATTGGATGAAGGAGTGCTTACCTCTAAGGCTTCGAACGAAGAGCTCAAAAGTTGCTACGAAGCCCGTTTTTCTAGCAGCTTGCCTATGCTAAAAGGTAGCTTGCTTGTTCTTAAAGAAAGGGAATTATGGCCGAGTTTTTGTGTCCTTTTTAGAGTATACTTTATCTTATTTTTTTCCTTGTTCATTTCGGTTTGTATTAGGTTTTCTTGACTATAAAGAGCATTCTACTTACATTGTAATAGTTAGTTTATGGTTCAATAAAAATTACTCCGACGAGTGTTTGTGTTCTTGGAGCTTTGGCTCGAGAATCAATTTATTGTCTTAGCTACGTGTGGATTACATAGCTAATTCAAGACCCTTGTTCAAGCAATTTTGTGGACAATTCCAGAATCATTTAGCAAGTTCTCTTATCAATCGAGTAAACACCTAAATTGTGGCAAGAATTCTACCTGTCCATAGTGTATCGTTCTATTGCTTGATTGTTGTGTTACTTTGATCAAAAGCACCCCCCTAGTGCTTTATCATAGATTGTAGTAGGTATTTGAATCAAGGAATTTTACAATGCTATATAGCATTGGTGCTATAGGTTTTTCCCATTATGGTACAATTTGAAGTTGTACCTTTAAAGTTATGGTACAACTTCATATTGTATCTATACTCTTTTGTACAAATTCTTTTATGGTACAACTTGAACTTGTACCTTTATGTGATAGTACAACTTTAAGTAGTAAAGTTGTACCATAACATAAGGGTACCAATTCCTTTATGGTACAACCTGAATTTATACATTTAATATTATGGTACAATTTCAAGTTGTACATTAAAACACCAACGCTTTAAAGCATAGTAAAAGTGCTCATTTGAATGATTTTATCTATGGGTATGTTGTTCTAGTGAATTTTTGCCTCATGTGTAGGTAGTTATCTGCTTGGGTAAGTCACCCTAATCTTCCCCACTAGCCTACTTGAGCTACTATGCTGGGTACAAAGGCTTAGGGTTCGACGGCTATGCGCCATCTGACAAACTAGTGATAGTGAGTTATCTTAGGGCTTTGAGGTGGTCGAGGCGACCGAACCCCTGCATCTATAGTTCCTTCCTAGAATGATGCTTTGGGAGGCTCTCCCTAATAGGGTGCGATATGTTGAACCTATTTTCAGGAACTATGAGAGTATCCCTAGCGAGGAAACTTAGATCGAGGTGACATTGAGTCTTTTTGGGTAACGCTACGAGGAGGGAGAAATACACAGATTAGAGAGTTCCGCACCTTAACCTTTAAACTCAACTTACCAACTATAGCTAGGGGAATTCTGTTTTAGGAAACCATCTCATTTCTAGCGGTCTCCCAACCACTTGGTTGGTTGTTTAGGAGTAGCTTAGGTTAGATTCTTCACCAAAACTTCTTATTCGGTTAGGTAGTAGTTCGGAGTGAAGTAAAATTAAATTTAGGGTACCCTTGGAATACGACCGAACTACTTTACTACATCCCTAGCTAGGTTATACTTGGCCTTGTTGGGATTGAATAGTGAGTGCACTTCGACTTTATAAATTTAAAACTCGATCGAAGTAGCGATAGAATCAACTCTCTTAAAATGAGGGAAGAGGTCCTCTATTTATACTTTATAGACTTCAGGGGGACGGACGAGTTCTCTTCCGAGCAGGGGGAGATCGCCGTCGTGAGCTTTTGCTTTGAGGCTCTGATCTTCAGGCGCCGCTGTTTTGGTCTTCATCTCTTGGGAGTTTGCGAGCTGACTTCACGGTCGTGATCCGTGAGTAGCGGCTGCAAACTTCCTCGCGGTCAGGGAAGACGGTGATCGTGATTCGACCTTCGAAAGTTTACGTTCCTTCTTTGATGGCTTCATCATGAAGTTTGCGCCCAAGAGCTCCAAGTTTGCGGCCGCAAACTATTATCCTCAGGCCATGATCCTCTCTCCTTCTTTGCGGTGTAATGTCTCGGCCGAGATCTTCCAAGTCCATGTTGTGATCTTGAACTTCCTACCATTTTTCTACTCTTATGCCCCTTTTCGTACCTAATTCGCATATATCGTCTAAAACACCCTAAAATCACAAAAGAAACCTAAACATAAAGGGAAAATAACATCAATTTGGGTGTTATCATCCACTCATTGCGAAACTTCAAAATATATGATCAATCGCCGCTTTGATGCCATATAAAAAGGAAATATAACTTGAAAGCGACACAAAACACCAGGTATATGTGGTTTCACCTTTCAATATGAACGAGGCTATCCACGAATAACGTGATTTTTTGGGATTATTATTATTATGTAACTTACTATAGTTTTGCTACCTTCAAGTTGCTGCCGTAGCTCACCTTTCCCTATATATACTCGCTACAATCAACGTGACTAAGTAGGGTTTACTAAGACTAAACTAACAACTTGTCCTCTAACTTCTAGTATATTTACATACACGGCCAACGCGTTTCTACAGTTAAATAAACATTCAACTAGTTTTATATTTCCCAAAGAGAACTAGATTAGGGTCCGCATGTTAGGGGGGTAAATTTTATTAGTTGTATAAATAACAATAATAGGTTTTCAAAAGAAATATATGTTTATTATATATTATATAAAATTCCAAATTATATAATCGTCAAAATTATCAAAAAAATCGTACTCCTTGATTTTATTAAATCCTAACCAACTCATTGACAACAAAAAATTACCAAAATAAGAAAAATGAACTTAAAAATCTAATCAAACCACTTTATTTTCTCCTCTATGTCAAAGAAAAGTACAACAATACTAATTTTAGATTTCTTTGTGATCCCTCTTGTATCAAAAGCATCATCTTCACACAATAATGTTTATGTCCTTAAAGTTATTGGACATTTTTTATTCATATTTGCTTTATCTCTCTAACAATGATAAGCAACCTAGGAGCCAACATAGAATTTGATAACCTATTGATTGACAATTTAATGAATAACTCATGTATATGTTCTTTATTTTATACTAATAACACATTTTCTTCTTGATTGACAATTCTCTTCCACCATGACTTACATGAATTAATTTATACAATGTAAGATGGCAAATAATAATGTTTGTAAGGTCAAATAGTAGTTAGGGTGTTATAAACTATCAATAACTATCATCATGTCATGAACTCCTCGATATCTTATCCGCCATCTAATCTCAATTTTGTTGAAAAAACAAATTGTCCAATCTAGTTCTTTCTTGTGATTCCTATATATGTCGGAATACATGATCAAGATTAATCTTACAAATTGAAAACTGAATGAGACATAACTCTACAACTACTAATAAATTACGTGAATCTAACATCTCTTGGAATTTTGAATTGCACAAAGGATTTGAAACTTATATGTGTAGAGAAATCTAAACGGTTTTGGAATTTATTGCTAGTGTCATAGATGAAGAGTTGAACAAATTTTGGTATGTTCCTTTGAGTAGGTTTTAGGATACCGATCGATGATATACTTAACCTTCAATCGAATAAACATATACTCTGCGTCCATTATTTATAGATCAATCTAATTTACCTCCAAAATAGGAATACTTATAATTACATCCTAGAGAGGATGGATAGGAAGCTTTCCTCGTGGAAGGAAAGATCCCTCTCATTGGCAGGGAGGGTGACTCTTGCCACCTCTGTCCTTAGCTCCATTCCCTCTTATGTTATGCAAACATCTATGCTCCCTCTCTTGGTTTGTTATTTAATTGACCAAAAAATCAGAGGCTTGTCTAGGTTTCGGTTGAGGGTAAAAAGAAAGTGCATCTGCTTTCATGGGACTCTGTGTGTAAGCCTAAAGACAAGGGGGGCTTGGCCTTAGATCTGCTAGGAGTTTGAACTTAGCATACATGGTTAAGCTTGCTTGGAATCTGTTTAACAATGAACAAGATCTGTGGGTTACAGTGCTACAAGGAAAATACTTTCATCATAAGAATGACATTTTAACAAAAATGAAGAGTAGTAACCATTCTAGTCTTTGGAAGGGAATTATGAAAGTTATGCCCTACATGAAACAGGCCACCCAATGGAGTGGCAGGAATGGGGAAACAACTGTGTTCTGGACCCACCCCCTGGGTGGAGAATGGCTTGATCCTGGAGGAGTTTGCATTGAAAGAGCTTACCAAGGAAGAACTAAGTGCATCAGTCTCACGCGAGGCTGATGCTTCAGGTGAGTGGGACTGGGATAGAATGAGGTTATACCTCCCTAACGAGATAATCTCTCTTATTGTAGGGACATATGCGCCTAATATTGTGCTGGGAGAGGATCGAACAGTCTGGGGAATCGATAAGGATGGCAGGTTCAAGCTCAAGTCAACCTACTAACTGGTGGCTGGGGAAGTGGACAACACGCCAATTGATGCATGGAAAGAATTGTGGAGATGGAAGGGTCTGAGCCGTATCAAGCATTTCCTGTGGTTGGCAAACCACAATAGGCTACTGACAAAAAAGGAAAGAAAAAAGAGAAAGCAGACTGAGATGGAATGTGCAACCACTGCAGAACAAAGGAAGAAACAACAGAGCATATTCTCCGAAAATGTGGAAAAACTGTTGGACTTTGGAGACACAACAGAAATAAGCATAAGGTGAATGACAACAGAATAGACTTTCAGACATGGTTGATTAAGAACATGATAAATCAGCAGACATGAATTGATTTTGGCATAATATGCTGGAACTTGTGGAAACAAAGAAATGAAGAAGCAATGGATGACAAGACTTACTCGGAAGAGGGTTTGATTCAGAGGGTGAATGCTTGGATCAACATTAACAACCAAGCCCGGATCAATGCTGAGAAATGCCTTGCACCTGTGTACAAGACCAAATCCAGAATTGAGATTGCATGAAAACCTCCAAAAGAAGGCTGGGTTCAGGTTCAAACTGATGGATCAGTTGTCCAATCTTCTGGTCATGCTGCTGCAGGGGGCCTCGTTCGAGACCACCTTGGAAGATGCCTGGGGGCGTTTGCAAGCAATCTTGGGAGGTGTACCATTACTCGAGCTGAACTAAAAGGAGTCGTGGAAGGGCTGGAAATGGCCTGGCAGCTTGGTCACAGAAGAGTGGAGCTCAACCTTGACTCTACTACTGTGATTTCCATTATTAAGGATAGGAGTAATAGTGGTCACTGTCATGGTCACTTTGCTAAGCTCAGCCTTGACTCTACTACTGCGGCTTCCAAGGGGAACTCCCTTACTTTTGGCACACATCCGTTCGATGTGAGCGACCCGAACTTGTACTACTGGCTTTTGTACGATAACATGGGAGTTTCCATGTGTCGTGATGTTAATGATATGATTTAGGACGCTTTAGCGTCTGTCTTCTACTAAAAAAAATTCCTTGTAGGTTAGGTACATTCACCCTTTCACATCATTGCTCCACAATATTCACATTTATACGATGGGTTTCCAATATCAAATAAATCAACAACTACAATAAAATTAAAACTCCAACATAAAAATACATTTGATAAAAATTCGAAGACCAAACAATACTATAAATATAAATTGAAAACAAACATGAAATCAATGGATTACCGTTAGGAATGTTGATAATTTTTATATATATACGATTTGGGGTTATATAAATGAAATAAATGGATTACCGGTATGAATGATGATAATTTTTACATATATACAATTTTACGTTATATAAAGCACACATTTTCTTCTTGCTAATTTTTTTAATGGTAGATTAATTCTCTTAAGTTCCAATTTTTCCAAGGCATCGAACTGCAAAAAAATAATAAATAATAATAATATAAAAAGCATCTTTTATTAATCAACCATTCAAGGTAATAACTAATAATAATAATAAAAAGCATCTTTTATTAATCAACCATTCAAGGTAATAACTAATAATAATATAAAAAAGCATCTTTGATTAACCAACCATTCTTAATCTTGAAAATTGAATTTAACTATCCATCCAAGTGGTGGAGCTAGGTTGAACCTAGAAGGGGCTATAATTCACATCAACATCGAAATATAATAGTCAGTAAGGCTTTAACTCACCCTCCTTAATTACCAAATTTTGAATCAACACTCTTCGTTCAAATTTCTGGCCCTATCACTGACCATCCTATTCATGTGACCGTAAAAATATAAAGAATGAACTATAATCAAAAGTTTAACCATGGCTTATTATCTTTTATAGTACCGGGGCAATTACAATTGGGTGGTTAGTAGGAAAAGCAGCATATAGCATTTCAACAACAACAAAACAGCTACAAAATAATTCGCTAATTTTAGTCTTAGAAATATTCGTGCATTCATCATTCTCGCTAAATAGTCTAATAATAAGAAGAAAAAAGCTCAAATTAGCCAAAATTCCCACACCATCCAACTTCATCATTTATCAAATAAATTACCAAAATTCTTGCACAGACTGCCTTACGTATATCGAAGGAAGCCTCACAGATATCCACAGTCAACCATACCCGGATACATTTTGGGGAAAAAAGGAGATCAAACAAAAGGGTTGTAATACCAGCACCTGGAAACGCCGTTCTCAAGGTTCATTCCTTCGTCTCGCTTCTTTTCATTTCATGATTAAGTATATTCAATACCTACTGCTATGTTCTGTAACATTGAATTGCTACCTTATACCAATCGCTAACTTAATCCACATAATCCAATTAGTGTCTTCTTATAAATTTTGGTTTTGATGTGGGGTATATACAACAGACTAATTAAATGGGTGGGACAGAAGAGTCAGAGAAGAAACATGATAGCGAAGAGGAGCACAAGGAAAAACATAACAAGGAGGATGAGAATGATCACCAGCAGGATGAGGAGGGAAAGAAGAAAAAGAAGAAGAAAGACAAAGAAGGTAAAGATAAGGATAAGGAAGAAGATGGTGATGGGCACGAAGAGAAGAAGAAGAAGAAGAATCCTGAAGATAAGAAGGATTCTTCGAAGCTCAAGGCCAAGCTCCAAAAAATAGAGACCAAGATGCAGGAACTGAACCTCAAGAAGGAAGAGATCCTCAAGCTTATCCATGAAGCTGAAACTAACCCCAATCCTCCACCCCCAACCGAGGATCACTAAGTCTTAACATGATGTATTATAGCAATGTTTTTAATCAACTCATAATAAACTTGTACTAATTAATCAATTCTCAGATCTCACCCCTACAAACTGCAGATAATATTGGTGGGGCAAACCTAGCTAGACTTGCATGTAAAGTGCGTCTTATGTATATGTATGAATCCGTCACTCATCTGCATGTAAGTTTCCTTCTTTTTTTTTTTTTTTTTGTAATTGTAGAGATAAATCAATAATCAATACTATGGAAAGATGATTTCAAGATATATTCCTGCCAAGTTGAAACTTGTGGATATTCTCATTTGTTGACGTATCGATTTTGACGGTAAGAAAATAATGTTGGATGACCGTAGATTTGTGAGTCTAAATATATGATTGTCGCCTGCAAACATAACTTGGTGAAGAAATATGAACAAACTATACATTTCATGAGGCAGATCGTCAAATAATTAATGACAAACATTCTTTAATCATCGTGAAAATTGATAGATTGATACATAAAAAATATGGTTTTAGGTTACTATTGATTAAGAGGTTATTTTGTAAATAACGATAAGTTCAATGGTATTAATCATGTGGGCCAATTTTACTTTTAAATATTTACTTTTGTTTTCAATCTTATCTTTTGTTTTCTACCAACAACTTTTTTTGTTTTCTTTTATTTCTCACATAATATATGTTACCATTCATCAAACATATTTTTGTGTTGTTATCATGAAACTCATTTATATGTTTTTATTTGGTTTTATATCAATAGCTGTCTCTCTCGCTTGGACTAAAATTCTTATATAAAAGTCGTAGTTTAGGGTAACTATTCATTAAGTGAATTTTTTTGTAATTCTTTCAAACTTTAAGGTCAATTTTCATTTGGTCGAAAAAACTCTCATCCCTTTAATTTGTTGACCAAATCTCCATTACCATTTAATTGTTGACCAACTTTTCACTACCTAGAGCAGATCAACAAATTCACAGATATCAACCGATCACATGTATTGCAATTACGTATATTCTGACGACTTTTTTTCCATTACTGAATTTCTTTGATTGACAAGTTTTTTATTTTATTTTTTCTCACTTTTCAGCTAGAGAGGGCTAATGACGCGTATTTCGATCATGTGTATTCCGGCGATGCATTTTTCATACCCGAATTGGTATATTAAAGTCTTGGTTTAGGGTTTCATTAATTATTTTTTAATTCTTTCAAACTTACAAGATAATTTCATTTACGGTCCGTTTTGGTATCAAATGAATCGAAAAATTCATTTCATTTTAAAATGAATAACTGTGTAGAATTCATTGTCAAATGAATTCTTGTGTTTGGTACGTCATGTTCAAATATTTAGAAATGAAATGAATTGAATTCTCAAATCATGTTTGGCTACATTCAAAATTGAATTAAATTAAAAGATTCCAACTACGCCCTTATTAATTTCCATCAAATCAAAATAATATATAGCTCTCAACATGTGGAGGATCAGTACATGGTTCCATTATTGCAATAACAAGAATGGATGTGTGCAGGGTCCATTGCATATTTTTAAGCTATATCACTCATCATTAGGAGTTAGGACACCAATTTTGAAGAAAGATCACGAAGGTGTGATTCTTTCGGTATGGTGTGGTTAAGCATTTCGGTCATACTAGGAAGAGTAAAGCTCCCGAAGTTGCAGGGAGTTCCATGTTGAGTGGGCTCTTGATCCAGGTCTTGAACATGGCACAGATTGACTCCCAGTTGATTTTTTTTGGAGAGGGTTCTTTGCAGGCGTTCCCTGAATTGTGGAGTGGTCGATGAAGGGACTGAACGTACGGGACATTTCGTCTCTTCCCTCAATGATCTGCTTGAATTTGGCCGATAGAGAGCTTAAACCAGTATGATCTGAAGAAGTCAAACAACTGTTAAAAGAAGTTCTGCATCTCCTGGTAACTTCAAAACTTGGATGATTGATTTTTTATTCCATTTATGCAGTTATACACACGTACACACAAATGTCGAGGGTATAAGCATAACAAAAGGAAGAGATAGTAACAGAAAAAAAAAAAAACATAAAATGAACACAAACAAAGGAAAAACACATATTATATATAAGCACAACATCTAAGAAACAATGCCCATCTAAGAACTGCAAATGAAAAAAAAAATAAACAAAGCTAACCTTCTTGATCGGTGGCGTGAATGGTACAGAATTGAAGAAGAAGAAGAAAGTTGCGTTGCGCAGCTAGGAAAATTGAGAGTCGCGCTATGGAAGTAGGGTTTAGGTTTTACCACAAAGTTGTATATATAGAGTTTAATGCACCCGGCTGAAGGAATTAACTAGGCGCGCAAAAGTGTTTGCTGGCGCCAAACTTGTATCGGTAAGTAATTTAACTTAATTACAATTATGTCACTTTATCATGATTAGTAAAATATTTGGGGAATTCATTTGAAAATTTCATCTCAATTTCTCGAAATTGTTGTAACTAGTTTCAATTCTGTAGAATTCAAATTTTAGAATTGAAAATGAATTTTTTTCTGTACCAAACACGAAAAAAATTCATTTCAAAATGAATTTCTCAAAACTTATGGAATTCATATATACCTAACGGTATGTTAGTCAACAACCTTTGTTAGTTTTCAGCCTATTCAATTTGAGGTTGACTCATCGTGCGTATTCCAATGAGGAATTTTCCATTATCAAATCACCAATCAATTGACAATTTTTTCGAGTTTTTTTACTATGTACATAAATATGTTATTTTTTCATACACTCACATTTTAGAATTTAAGGCTTCATCGCCATCAAGTCTATTTACTCTCTTAGTTTCAACTTGGTATTATATGTGGCTGAACACATAAGTAGGGAGGAAATCGGTACAGTATCGGTATCCCATTACCAAATATCGAATACCGAATTACACCCTAAAATCAATCACAATTCCTAAATAATTTCGGTATCCCAATCTCAATCGCTAAATATTTCGGCATCCCAATCGGTACTTCTATATCTCAATCGGTATTATCGAATACGAAATTAATTACCTATGCAATTAATAATTAAATATATAAATTATATTTGATTGTTTAATTTAGGGCAAAGAGAATAAGAAAAGAGTCTTGAGTTTGCCTACAACTAGGATATGGATAAGAAGAATGAAGGAGAGGTGACATCTCAAATTCTTGTCATTGGTAATCTTTAATTCGACGAATTAGAGGCTGAGAGACGACTAATACTAGTGTTTGCTCTTTGGTGTTATTAAAATAACAAAAGGTTAGGTGAAGGAAGGGAGTGACTTATATTGGAAAGTCAAAATTGAGTTGGATGTGTGCTTCTAAGTTGTGAAAGATTGAGGAATAACCAAAGGTTGTGTGCTATATTTCATTAATTTTTTATTTTCGGTATTTTCTCGGTATTTCGGTATATACCAACCGCAATCCTGTAATCTCGAATACCTAATAGCACTGCAAAATGAATCCCAATCCCAATCCCTACAAAATAAGCCGATTTTCAGTAATACCAAATAGTGATAAATTTGGTATGATATTCGATATATCCTAAATACCGGTACCAAACTTGCAGTCCTAGTCATAAGTGATTTTAGATTATATTGTTTCATTTATCAATTGAAACATTGTATCATGACAATTTCTATTTTTTGTTTAACGCATTACATCATATTTACAAAAAATACTTAATATAATAGAATTGAATACCATGTGTGGAGCACGCACGGACGAAAAGGAGCTAATACTGAACTACGAGTCTAGCTTGGAGCATGTCATTGTCCTATTGGACAATCTCTTTGAAGGTTGTGTCGCCATGAGGTCGATTAGATGTTGATGACATCGACTCGCTATTTCAAGTGGATGTTTTGCTTTAAAATTAAGGTGGGCAAAAAATTGGATGTTAATAAGTAATCAAGCATTGATGGCCATGGGAGTTCTTGGAAATTTCAGCCTTAGGCTTTGTGGTACTTCATGCGAGGATTGAAAATTCTCTTCTGGTAGATTTGGTTACATATAGGAAACTTCCTTCTATTTCATCATCTTTGCCTCTCAACCATTTCAAATAACCAATTATTAAAGACTCAAATGAGAACACCAACATCTTATGTTACTTCTTGTCGAGAAATTTTTGCCCAACACAATTAATTGTCGAAAAGAAGCAAATGAGATACTACTACTGTCCAGGTTTTTACTCAGACATTGGCAAGAATGCCAGAGGTGGGAGCTCACTTCTCTCTTCTTCGTACTCTTCTCAGTATTATTCTCTTCTCATTCTTCTGCCAATTGCCGCCAGATCTTCTGTACAAAGACTATGCTCGTCAGCCGCCCAACTACTTCAAGTTTCAGTCGATTAAGTGGAACTTTGATCTCTCCTGTGAAAGTAAGAACTCTCTTCTGATCACCTCTTCACTCAATCTTCATCCTTTTTGAGAAAGTTGTAACCTTTTGTTCTGAATCTTACAGCTCAAGAAATCCTGCCCGGCCTCACAACACTCTTCAGATTTACCATTCCTGATTCCAGCAAGGTACTGTTGCTCTTCCTCTAATTTTCGTCATCGTGTAGAGAATTTGAGATTGGCGCTCCTTCTAACAGTGGATTGAATAATAACAGGTGGAACTAAGGTTCATAGATGACTATGTTGGTCTAACTGCAGGAGCTGGGGTGAAGGCATCTAAACAAGGTCCCTTTTCAGGAAACTCATACGACCCAATCCTCAGCTTCTCTGGCCTTCTTGGAGCCAATCTTTTCTCCATTGGAGCAGGACTATCCTTTGACGTGTTGAACAAATCGTTGGACGACTTCAGTGCTGGTCTCTGCTTCAATGGAACCACATCCCCCATCACATCACTGAACTTGTAAGTAACCCCTCTCTACACCTAATTTGTTTTCCAAAGCTTTGAACTTTCAGTCACCCAAAAAGCGATGAACCATCTTCTTGTCAGGGATGATAAACTTGACACGTTAAGAGCCTCCTTCTACCATTCCTTCAGCGACATAACCAGGACAGCCGTTGCTGCAGAGCTAAAGCACTCTTTCTCAGGAGATGGAGCTAGTACCTTGACGGTTGGCATACAGCATGATCTGTTTGAGTTGGTGTTCTTGAAGGCTCGCGTGGACACGAATGCCAAGTTAGGAGCGTTCATACAGCTGGATCTGTGGGAGAAGCTGATGTTTGCCGCTTCAGCAGAGCTTGAGCTCAGAGCCAGTGACAACAACTGCAGACTCTCCAAGCCAACTATTTTCCTCCATATCCATCTTGTTCAAAGTGAGAGAACCACAACCACGAATATGCATTGGAGGTTTATTTTACTAATGTACATTAGCTTGGAGAAGACCATCGCGAATCTGAGAAGCAACATCACGAACTGCACCAGGGCCATGGGGGATGAAGACAGCTGAGGATTTGGAGGCAGCACCAATTTCCTTCATGGTGTCAAAGTACTGTGTCACCAGGACCATGTCCATGACATCTTTGGCAGATGTACCAGGTACATTCTCAGAGAAGCCAATTACACTGTCCCTTAATCCATCCACAATTGCCTGCCTCTGGCGAGCGATACCCAACCCCGAGAGATACTTTGATTCAGCCTCACCTTCAGCCCGCTTGATCTGCAGAATCTTTTCAGCCTCTGCCTTCTCAGTAGCAGCCACCCTCATTCTTGCAGCTAAATGAAGTAAAGAAAAGGGCAATGAGCAACGTACTACTATTGAAACAAAGTAAAAGAATTTACAGAGGATAAGTATTTACCAGCATTAATTTCATTCATTGCCCTCTTTACATGCTCATCTGGTTCAATATCGACAATGAGTGTTTGCACAATCTCATACCCATAGTGAGACATGGCCTGCAAAAGAAGGTAGACTTGATGCTTAGAATTACAGGAGCCAATTCAATGACTCACCTAAACCAAACTGGTCAAAATTCAATGAGATTACCTTTTCAAGTTCATTTTCCACAGTTTTGGCAATGTCATTCTTCTGCTCAAAAGTGTCATCCAGAAGGAGTTTTGGAACACTTGCCCTAATCACTGAATAGATAAAGCCATTGTCAGCCTCCCAGTGTACTATAATTATAGTGAAAAAAACCACGTGTTGTGCATGTCAACAACTATATGATCAAAGGAGAATACATACCATCAAAAACATAGGCCTGGATTTGGCCCCTAGTGTTGCTAAGCTTGTAGAAAGCATCGTTCGCCCTCTCTGCCAGTGCGCGATATTGAATAGACGCGACAACAGTAACAAAAACATTGTCCTGAAAAAATAAGGATTTTAAGACATTACTAGAGCTACAAATTCACCATTCACCACAGTTTGGCAAACCAACTAAGACAAGCAATGCAAACATGTAGCCTGTCATACATCTTTCGGGGAAAACTAGCAAATAAGAATATAGAAATTGGAGCAAGAAAGGAGAAAGATTCGAAGAGAAATCATGGTGGCAAACAAGTTTGGAACACATTCATGAGTTATCCTAAAACTGCTTATGAAGTTTACAAAGTAAATAGAAACCAGAAAGATCAGATAAAATGGTGCCATCAGCAAAGACTAGTGAAGGAAAACTCAAGCAATTCAATAATAGTGGCAGGCAACAAGTAAAAATGTTTGTGAGCGAAGTTTGGAACACATTCATGAGTTATCCTAAAACTGCTTATGAAGTTTACAAAGTAAATAGAAACCAGAAAGATCAGATAAAATGGTGCCATCAGCAAAGACTAGTGAAGGAAAACTCAAGCAATTCAATAATAGTGGCAGGCAACAAGTAAAAATGTTTGTGAGCGAAGGAAAAGGAATTTACCTTTGTCTTGGTCTCACAACGAACATCCAGCTGCTGAACTCTCAGAGACAGATAGCCAGCCACCTGCTTTCCTAGGAACCAGGGCAGACAGTGGCATCCAGGCTCAAGAACTTCATCGAACTTCCCGAATTGTTCCCTTATAGCTACAGTGGACTGATCAACTTGAACACAGCAAAACAGATTACCCATCTTCTCTACAATCACCACAGAACCACTAAACAATTCAGTCAAAAAGGATCAAGAAGAAACATCAGACAGTTGCCATTGAGCTATTACATCCAGAGAATACCAGATCCTGCAATCCCCATTGACATATGGAAAGAACACGGATTTAACAGAGCTTTCTACAAATTAACCAATACCCAGAAGCCTTCTGAGCTGCCTAGAATTGAACGTGCAGGCAACAGCAAAGAGAGAAACTTACAGAGTTGACTACAGAGAAATGTGGGATGATGCAAAAGAGAATGATTGGCCTAGCGACTTAAACAAGGAGGGATATATAGCAGCCGAATGAAAGCCCTCAATCAAACCCTGATTTTTCCTCTTCCTTCCCTTCCTGTTACTTGCAATAATTCTTAAGAGTTCAAGAAGACCTTATTTATAATATCTCAAGTCTACCACTTATCTGAGCTGTACCCACCAATCTTATCAAGACAAAGAGCTCCCGAGTATGAAAAGAATCGACCATTCCCAAACACCGATTAAATTGAATAAATAATACCCCCAAGTACCTCCGCAGATAACAGTCAAACCTGAGATAGAACCTTAAAACCTCCACTTGAGCGCAATCTCAAAATTCAGGCAAAAGATCAAACCCAACAAGAAACCCAATAGTTTTTTGTCAAAAACGCGCAGAGAGACTATTACATGACAAGTAACAGACAAGGAAGCGAGAAATTTCCACACAGCAGGCATTGATCCGAACAAACAAGAAGGTGACAGTTTCCAAATCGCTGTCTCTCACTCTCTCTCTACGTTCGGAAAACCGCAATTTCAAAATTTACTCATCAAACCAGAGTAATACATCCAAGAAAGAGCTAGTAAGTGGCGACAATTACAAGCATATGTTGACATAAAACATACCAATCGAAAGAGCCGACTGCGAGAGATCAAGAAAATGTCCCGACGTGCGAGTGAGGAAACCGGAGGAAATAGGGAAACAAGAAATCCGAAAAGAATTTCGCCAGTTGAAAAAAATTAGAAAATAAAACCCTAGTGAGGAAGGAAGGCTTCACCTTTGGTTTCGGCTTCGACGTTGAGCTCTGCCGTTGTTGGGGAATATTACACGGGAATTGGCGATGTTTCGGCTGCCTGGTCCTGCCAGCTAAATACCGTTTGCGCGGAATAAAAACCGAAGAGCGAAGAGAATGTTGATTGAGTCTCGAGCGCGAGACTCCGGCGTCGATTTCACTGATTCTATCTATCTGCTATTGCAGGCTTTCCTGGAAACCTAGCTTTCTAAAACAAGAACAGAAATAGAACAGAGTATGAAGGAAAGGAAAACAAGTTTTGATCGTGAAATGCACAGCAAGTTAGACAAAGATATGTTTATGGGTTCTGGATTCTATATGTCTTAATGGGCTCTAGTTCTCTCACTTAAGCCCACGTAGATTAGTGTGTGATTTATAGATTAAATTAAAGGGTTAATTGCATGGTTGGTCACTGTGATTACAAAAAATGTTCATGTTTGGTCACTGAAAATATTTAAATCCAATTTTGGTCACTCAAATTAGTTAAATGGTTCAAGTTTGGTCACTCTCCGTCCAACTCCGTTAAATTTGTCTGATGTGGCAGTCAACCCTCAAAGTTGACCGTTAACTCAGTAACGTGGCAATTAAAAAATAATAAATATAAATTTAAATCATCTACTATTTCCAACTCATTTTCACAATAAAGTAAAATACAAAAAAAATTACATATTGAAAAGGGCGCTTCCTCCGCCAATACATCCCTTCCCCGCCACCAAACCAGCTCCAATTCCCATCCCTAGCTCCGCCTGCTGCCGATCCTGCCGCTCCCCGGCCATAATCACCTACGCCCCTTCCTCCAACTCCATACCTGAGCGAGTCAGGTATGAAGCTCCATACTCGCCCGGCCAATCCAGTTCATCAGGCTCGGTAACAGGATCTTGAACCCACCCCATGAGTTGAAGCATATTGCAAACAAGATGTTGTGGCAGGACTCGTCCCTCGAGATCCCCGACTACTCGGGCTCGTCGAGGACTGACCCAGCCGCAGAGGAGAAGAATTCGTAGAGGTTGTGGTAGTCGCTCTGGAAGAGCGCCGCCGGGAGACGGACGGTGTGGAGGGTGGCCTCCTCGATTTCCTTCGACAGCCCGACGGAGAGGATCTGGGCGAGGTTGAACAGGACCCACTTCGAGATCAGCGTCGGCGAGTCTTTCCCCAAGGGAGTGTCGACCGGCCTCACGCCGAAGAAGGCCCAGCCGACGAGAGGAAATTGAAAGCGGCCTGCTCGCTCGGGTCGGCGAAATTGGCTTTCCCTTTCTTCGCCAGATCGTATTCCAGCACTTGAAAGAGCTCAGTAAGTGAGGAATTGCATTCGCGAATCACGTAATCGCGACAGGATTTGATCAAATTGAAGAGCAATTGCTTGAGCTTGGTGTGATTGGATTCGAACGGGTTGAGGTAGGACAGGATTCGGTACCCTCCGGTGAGATCCGTGGAGGGCATGTAGGTCCCAGTGAAGACATTCTTCTTCTCGACTTTAGATAAATTGAAGTGCACCGGGAAGCTCTTGTTGTCGAGCAGGACGATGACGTGAGAGTTGGTGGCGATGAAAGGGCCCGGGGGCATGTTGACTCGGTAGACCTTCACACCTCATCCACCCTCGTATGGAGTTGGAAGAAGGGGTAGGGTAGGGATGTAGTGGCAGGGGAAGTGGCCTTTTTAATGTGTAATTATAATATTTTTTATTTTATTTGTTTTAGTGTATTGTGAAAATGAGTTGGAAATGGTAGAAGATTAAAATTTATTTTATTTATTATTTTTTAATTGCCACGTCACTGAGTTAACGGTCAACTTTGAGGGTTGACTGCCACATCAGACAAACTTAACGGAGTTGGACGGAGAGTGACCAAACTTGAACCATTTAACTAATTTGAGTGACCAAAATTGGATTTAAATATTTTCAGTGACCAAACATGAACGTTTTTTGTAATCTCAGTGACCAACCATGCAATTAACCCTTAAATTAAATAGGGCTAGTAAACTTTCAAAGAAACAAATAACAGCCCACTTATACCATTAATCGAAACACACAGTAAGTAGAACGCTGCCGTTCTTACTCCAACTTCAAGTTCCTCCCTTCAACGAATTCAAATCGTAAATCACTTCCCCTGCACTGCAAATTCGTTGGGAAGAACAGCCAAGAACAGACTACAACCCAAAAAACTAAAATTCAAATTAAATCAAATCGAGTTGTATTATTGATCTAAAGAACTCGTTCTTGTATTTTGCTTGGGCTTCCTTTCTTCTTGTCAATCTTTAATCGAACTCCCTGCAAAATGAAACTGAAACAGAGCACACACTCTGCAGCACAAACCAGGTAATTTAACAATGGAACAGAAATTACACAGGGACCA